ATGTTCCTGTGTAGTCTCATTTATTGGCGGGCGGCTCAGCGCATCGGCTGTATGGTTGCTGACACCCATAATATAAACAGTTTTGTAACCGAAAGCACTCAGGTTTACAGTCCATCGCTGCATTCTGGGTGATGCTATCTATTGAATGCCCTTGGTTTCTCCGGGTAGTGATGGTAAGGGTTTATGATCCGTGCGTAGCTGGAAGAAATTCACCCATAAGCATTGGTGAAACTTCTTTACCCCGAAGATTACGGCCAAGGCTTCCTTATCAAGTTGTGAGTCGTTTTTTTCTGCAGTTTGTAGGGTGCGCGGTTCAAATGCTATGGGACGTAAAGAACCGTCGCTTATGTGGTGGCACAGGACAGCCGCGACTCCACAAGGAGACGCGTCACATTGAAGGATGAGTGGTTTATGGAAATCCTAATGTACTAACGTTGGTGGTGAAATAAGAGCCTGCTTAGATCTTTTGAAGGCATCCCGCTGATTGGAACCCCAATGCCATTGTACATTTTTGTACAACAGTTCATTTAGTGGACACAATACCTTAGATTCATTATGCAAAAATCGGCGATACTGGGACAGCATGCCTAAGAACAAACGAAGTTCATCAATGTACTTCTGCTCCAGACTTTCTAAAATTGCTTTCACTTTGTCATTTAGATCATGTAACCCGGGTTCATCAAGCCGGTATCCAAGGTAACAAACGGGGGAACAAAGGGACTAACATTTTGATTTTCTCAGTCCAAATCCATTCTGTTCCAAGCGCTCGAGTACGACAACGAGTGTACGAAATGTTCCGTGTCAGAGCGTCCGGAAATAAGAATATCATCCAGATAAGCACAGGCAAAAAGGTATACCTTTACTAGGTCGTCACTAATACTTTGGAAGATCCCAAGAGCAGAACTTATGCCAAAAGGCAAGCGAGTATATTGGAATAGTGCCATGTGTGGTAATCGTAGTAAGTTTCTTCGACGGTTCGTCGAGCTCTATCTGCGAGTACGCATGACTGAGATCAAGTTTGGTAAATTTCTCACCACCTGCCAGTGTTGCGTACAAATCATCAATGCGGGGTAATGGGTACCTGACTAGCATGGAGGATTGATTAACAGTCATTTTTTAATCACCACAAATCCGTACAGAGTCGCTAGGCTTGGTCACAGGTACAGTTGATATTCTCTAGTCTGAAAACTGTACAGGAGTACTACTACCCTGGCGTTTTAAGCGTTTAATTCTTCTTTGACTTTAGTCCTCATAGAGTATGGTAGTGTGCGCGCTGTGATGAATTTTTGCCCAGCACCCTCCTTTAATTTTATCCTAGCCTGAAATCCTTCCAATTCCCCAAGTTAATCCGCATAACTCGGGGAGTGTTGTTTTAGCAAAGCTTCAAGTCCCGCCACCTCATTGATTGTTTTTACCACATACAATGTATCCAACAATGCATGTATCCAGTCTCTTCCTAGCAGCTTTGGGCGATTCCCTGAGACCACATACACAGGAAGCTTTTGTATCCTGTCGCCGTATTGTGCCTTTACGAAGCATTTGCCAAGAACACGTATGGGTTCGCCAGTGTACGTACGAAGAACGGAACTGCAAGAGGATAAGGGTGGCAGTGATTTTACAGCACTTTCCCCAATTATTGTCACAGATGCTCCTGTATCGATCTCCATCTGTACTTTCTGTTCTTCAATGTGAAGCTCCAATGTGTATGGCGCTGGCCGCTTATTGGGAACGGTATTCAACCATATCGAATGCAACAGGCCTGCTAACATCCGACTTGCCCACATTTTTGATTGGTTTTGGTCCCCGATAAGCCCCACCTGAACGCCCTTTGACCGATCTGCACACTCGCGCCAGGTTGCGCACCTTCCCGCAGTTCCGACATACGGTATTTTGATGTCGACAGTCAGATGGACAACTGTGCGTTACCCACAACGGTAGCACACAAATGAATTGCGACCAGTGGATGCTCGCCCTATTTTTGAAATACTGTTGACCAATCTCAATCCTTCTGCTGAGTCTTCCAGAGTGAAAGTTGCCAGTTATTGCGTCAGGTTTTCCCTCTGCCTGGCGATAGAACATACTGTCTCCCACGTCAGTGCACAACTATATTGTGAGAGGAGCTTCTCTCGAGTGTTCTGTTCTAAGATTCCCGAGATCAGGCACTGAAGTAGCATGGTTTCTTCAAACGTCGCTGGATCGATTTCTGTATTTACAGTCAGGTACCGCTTGCAGCACACGAGCAACGAACTCGTTCGCACTTTCGTCTGTTATCTGAGAGAACTTGGAAAAGTTATATCTAGCCCTGGAAACATTTTGACTGACACTCCAAAGAGCACTGAATGTATCTGGAGCGCTGGTAATGTCGTCAATACAGGGAGCGCCGAAATATCTTGGCCATCATCCCCAAAAAACTGTCGTAAAAGTTTCACTTCGTTTTTCTCCGTAAGAGACACTGCTGGGTTCAAGATTGGAAGCAGTTCCAACTAATGAATAAAGTTTTTCCGCCATCAATTCCATGTATTCCAAGAAGGTTTGTCGGTAGAACCAGACCAGAAGACCGGTTGAGCATTTGCCATGGACATGTCCACCTCTGTCGCCATATGTCTGGTCTCGCTCCTAGTAGTACGTACTCTGTTTAGACCTTCACTCACATGCACGCACGCATAACCAACACCTATCTTCACTATTCACAAGTCGTACAGTGAGTTGGGGTAATCACGCACAGGGAGTAATCCCACACTTTTACTAGTTGTATAACTTTTTCATAAATGAAGGTACGAGGGTCATTCAATAAATAAGGTGAATTTTTCGGTATAAGGACTTCTAATACAGATAGAAGCTTACTTTTTGTTTACTTTTGTTGTTTTACTTCTTTTTCACATGGATGTAATTTCTTTTGCAGATTGAAAAAATCTTTGAGAGTTGTAGCGATTAACGAAGCTGGCCGACCAAGAAGCATGCTCCAGGATTGAACAGCGGTCAGTTATCAAGCTTTTGGTTGCTGAAGAGTGCAAACCAGTTGAAATTCATAGAAGAATGTCAACTGTGTTTGGTGCCACATGTTTCAGCCGAAAAAATGTCTGCAAGTGGGCAAAATTGTTTAAAGAAGGACGGAGCAGTGTTGAGGATGAAGACAGGCCTGGGAAGCCTACAGAAGTGAGGTCTCCTGAGGTGATCGGATCAGTCAATGACGTGCTCCAGGTCTAACCTCTGGTCTTCGGCATTTAAATGCACGAACATCAAAGAGTTTTCTTATCATGACGCCGGATGCCTAGGCGATTTTCATGTAGCTGTGTGCCAAGCTTAGCGCTGGTAGCACTACGTAGTAGCTTTTCAAGTTCGTGGTGGCATATGTCCTTGGCAGCGTCAGTCGGACAGAAGGGTGACAGTGGATGACATGGACAATTTTGTGTGCCGCCCCAACAGATAAGCTCAAAGTTCTTGCAATGTCATCCACTGCCACCCTTCTGTCCGATTGAATGAGGTCATTGACTTATTCGATCACCTCAGGAGACCTCACTTCTGTAGGCTTCCCAGGCCTGTCTTCATCCTCAACACTGCTCCGTCCTTCTTTAAACAATTTTGCCCACTTGCAGACATTTTTTCGGCTGAAACGTGTGGCACCAAACACAGTTGACATTCTTCTATGAATTTCAACTGGTTTGCACTCTTCAGCAACCAAAAGCTTGATAACTGACCGCTGTTCAATCCTGGAGCATGCTTCTTGGTCGGCCATCTTTGTTAATCGCTACAACTCTCAAAGTTTTTTTCAATCTGCAAAAGAAATTACATCCATGTGAAAAAGAAGTAAAACAACAAAAGTAAACAAAAAGTAAGCTTCTATCTGTATTAGAAGTCCTTATACCGAAAAATTCACCTTATTTATTGAATGACCCTCGTACCTTCATTTATGAAAAAGTTATACAACTAGTAAAAGTGTGGGATTACTCCCTGTGCGTGATTACCCCAACTCACTGTACGACTTGCGAATAGTGAAGATAGGTGTTGGTTATGCGTGCGTGCATGTGAGTGAAGGTCTAAACAGAGTGAGCGCGTAGTCAGCGATCGTTAAGATGCATGTGACAAGTGGCAGTACGCCGTTACGGCGTGCTGACTTTTCCTTATCCCACGACCACCAACAGTCGCGCGTGGGCTAACTATAATACGAATTCGCCGTACCTACGCAGATCCGAACCGGTGACCCCCAGATTACAAGGTAATTGTATAATACTTTAGACCAACGTGGACAAGAGGAATGTAGGCTCTCACTTCGCATTTGACCCCTGTTAAAGCCTCCTGACTCCGCGGTTTAAGTCCAGAGAATGACGAACACGTTTGGTTGCATATAGTTGTTGACATGGGGAAAAGCCGATCTCAATAACGCTTGTATCGTGAGTTCCTTTCTCCATCTTGATCCCACTTAGCCTCATCTTCAAGCACGATCGCACTCTCTATGCATAAGACTACCCAAAGCATAACATTGCTTGTTTTTATTTTGTATTCAGCAATATTCAGCTTCCCACGTTTTTTGTACATCTTATCTATTTGTATTACACCATATTATCTGTTATTTCTTACCGCCAGCCAACTTGTCGAATGATGCTGATGACCGTGCTTGTCTCCCGTTATCCGTTTTCCTGATAACGATAACCACCTCTTCCTGCTAATTCCAATGTTGTTAGGTATGATTACAGCACCCACGCTTACGGAGTATTTTTTTCCGTTTCAGCTCCACAGATCTCTTATGATCCACCTACATGTTGAATACTAACGATCACCAAGTCAGACTGGCCGCGTGGTACACAGTACATTGACTTATCTTCTGGACATTTTTAGGCTAGTGACCATATCGTCTCTTCCATTTCCGTTTCAGCACGCAAGAACGCTCATTTCTACAACTTTTGGGTATACTTGAGGTCATTAATTTTAGTACACATGAACAAGGAAAGTATCAAAGCTTTTGAATGTAAACTTGGCACTTTATTTACTGTGGTCCTCAGTTCACATCCCAACCCCCGCATCCAACCCCGGCCCATCAGCTGAGAGGGCTATCTACGGCTTTGTCATATACATTGCCTCTTTCATTTGTTTTGGTAAGTGCAGGTTTTTCCAGTGTCTGAGACTTTTTTATCGTTTTTCACGGCATTCATGAACAGTGCATCTACAGGCGCCGAAAATTAATTTCATTTGAGAGAATAAGTGCAACTTTCTCATCCACACACCCTTTGTCTACTGTACTATAAGTTGCACTTACCAACACATATCACAGAAACAACTACTACTTAACCCACCCATATTCTCTCATATGCTCGTTTTAAAAGCGGCTTAAGCGTATTTCCCCTGAGTGTGCATGAAACTGCTTCGGTTAGTAAGAATCCAGCTATTGTTCACGAGCATGGTATAGCGCGTAAGTCAGTACACTCTACAAAGCAGGCAGATACGCTACGTGCTTCTCCGTTCCAACCATCATCCTCGTCATCAACAGCAGCATATCAGCTATTTAAACTGATACTTTGCTGCTACACGACCACAATGACCTACGAAAAGAATAATAGGTAGAGATTCGCCACATCTAGACTCACTCAGACAGCCGTTACACGTCTGGAAAACCACTGTATGGCCGTTTCATCCTTTCGGGAATCGTCAGCAGTGCGCATTCCATCAGACCATGGTAAGGCTCGAAGCCGCAACTCGACTGTTGCGAGTCAGTGGTTGAAAGCACTGAGCTACGGTGGACGACATCGACCATCGTGAATAAGTTGCTAGGTATGATATAGCGCCGCTTACTATCCACTGACTTGCACGTTACTACTGTGCAGAGGACTGGGTAGCCCCCACACTAAGCTCGGTAGTAACGTGCGAGTCAGTGAATAGTAAGCGGCGATATATCACATCTAGTAACTTGCCGTCCCACGTAGCTCAATGGTCTCAATCACGAACTGGCAACAGTCGAGTTACGGGTTCGAGTCCTACCATGGTCCGATGGAATGCGCACTGCGGACGATTCCCGAAAGGATGAATCGCGCATACTGTGCTTTTCCGGGCGTGTAATGGCTGTCTGTGTGAATCTAGATGTGACTACTTTCTACCTTCACAATTCTACTCCCCCTACTACTCTTCTGTAAAAAGAATACTACTACTAATAATAATAATAGGTAGAGGGGAGTCACCGGAAAACCTTGATGTCTTAAGCTAACATTCACGGTCAAGGCGCCTACTCCTTGTCAACAACATGCCGTCATAAACAGATGGCTATCTTACGAAGATAAGGCGGCATCGGGGAGATAACTTTCTTGCAGGTTTCATTGCCATGCATCATAATCAGCCATTTCCCCGCGGCTAACTTTGCACCAAACACACTTTAAACAAGCAGTCCAACTAGGTGACGACAGTAGACACACTGCTGGTGTCGAATGCGAACCATTTCCTGCAAAGTCCCGGGCCAAACACAAGGCTATTCATGTAAACTCCATCCTGTAAGGCGAGACGGACCAACGGCACCGAGTTTGGTCATCACTGATTTCATTTCGCGCTACCAACTCAACTTTTTCCCACATCCTGCCTCGCACCACCCCACATCTGGTAGACATAACAAGGCCTCGGTAAGCGGCTACTAGGCATACGTGGTACGTGCCAAAGCCAACGCAACTTATTCAGCACTATCTGTTGTTCTAAGGAACTAGCTTGGTTATCAATGCCTCGTACTCACCTACGCACATCATCGTTGCGGACACGCTAGTGCCATCTGACAGCAGCATTGATTCACAGACAACGATGACCAAAGACTTAAGTGCGCATCAGATCGAAGGGGCCAAATCTCACACCTATAGAGTAGGACGGCACTCATTGTAGTCTTGTAAACGGCCTTTTAGACGGAGGGGAACCCCTTTCTGACGCCACAGATGTCACAGATTCAAAAAGATAATTCCAGCTTTTGGAATGCGTTGGCTGACTTCAGTCTTGCGCCCATAGTTGCCGATGCAGCTGCCAAAGAAGGTGAAGTGATCAACTACCTCGAGTTCCTCGTCATCAAGAGTCAAGAGGTCATCAACTGGCTGATAGTCCTGTAACAGCACTTTACATTTTGAAGTTGCGAAGCATATACAGATTATAAGACCACTCTAGAGAGGTTAATCAGTGTTGATTACGCCACCTCAATATCGTTAAATAGCAAGACGTTTTCATCCACATAATCAAGATCAACTAGCTTTTTCACCCTTCACTTCAACGCCTGCATTGTGAGGCTCCGCAAAGAAACACTCCATGATGCAGTGTACGACGAAGTTGAACAACCATGCATATTTGGACCTCCCTGACGGACGCCACTTGTCGGAAAGGCATCCTACACATCGCCGTAGATCCTGACGCAGCCTGTCGTGTTCAAGTATGAAGCACGTAAAATGTCCACGTATTTCATGAGAACACCTTTCCGCCCAAGTATTTCGAACGGAATGCATCGGTCAACTAAGTCGAAAGTACTCAAGAACACAGATATTGTTGGTTTGCGGTATGTGTGGCACTGCCCTAGCATCTGCCGCAGAGTTGAATATGTGGTCTATATAACCCCGTCCTGGGCTGAATTCTGCCTGCTGTTCCCAAATCCGTGTTGTTAAGCGACGAAGCCCAGCCTCCAAAGGAGTCTCTAATCTAACTGACTATGGCTCGGTCTGCAACACTTGCGTGGGAAGAGTTCCAGAAGCAATGGGACAAGTGAATTGCTCTCAAAAGGGCTCCGCCCGTCGAGGCATACGTCGCTCTTTATTGCAAGTCATGGCACTCGCGCTGTCTGATTATCTCACTGATTCCTGGTTTCCTGGTACCAAAGGTGTGGATCAGCTGGAAAGCTTGTGGTAGTTGCTTGCTGTTCCTCGTTCCTCCAGTTCTTGAACCCGACTGGTCCACCAGGCTTCCTTGTCAACACGCAGGCTCCGCTTCACTTCGCACTTAGTGGTCCGTCTGCTTACATTGTGTGGCTTTTGCACTTCTCTCCGAGCTAAATGATTATTTTGCAATCGTTTCGCGTTCAGACTAGCTGACATCCTCAATGCGGCTTTACGATCCTGTATTACAGAGTTTTGTAAGCGACTTCGATATCTAAGTGCTTACTGATCTAGTTCATCTTTGATATCTGCGGATAGCGTCCTCCGGTCGGTTATTTTTGGCTGTGTTGACAAGATCACTTTGTGTTAACTTTCTGCGTTCATTGGAAGTATTTCGTGGAAATTGAGCTACAATTCAGTTTCATTTCTGATTCTGAAATTTCCCACCAAAAATACTTGTGTTTTCATCGCTTGGTTTCGGCGATCTTGCTATCGCCATTTTCTCCGTCATTTGGCCGCCATCTTGTTTTCGGATTATTCACAATGCCGAAGCAGTCATCCTGTGGTACTTGCTTCAAACTAGTCGGATACCGTGCAAATGCCATCACGTGTGTTTTGTGCCAAGTTAAATACCACATTTCATGTGTTGGATTATCAATTAAGCATTTTCATCGTCTTCGCGAGATCCAACACGATTTCATCCAAACTATATGTGAAAATTGCCGAAATAAGATACAGCCAGAAAGAGTAAAGCCGACGTGTAGGCGTCAGCGTTTCGTTGCGAACAGCTCCCTGTGTTTGGCCCAACAACCTAGCGCGAAGAGCCTTCAGGTTTCGGCTCAGTCGTCCTCCTCTACCCGTGCAAACTCACCGACACCAAGCCCAACCGTTGTGAGAAGCCCAGTTGCACCTAGCCTAAATTGTTTACCTTTGTTGTGTCCACCGGACACTGATGTCCCAGCAGGTGAAAGTCTGAGTGCTGAAGACCAGTGGAAAGAACAGAGGACGAAATTACGAAGGAACGTTGAACGTTTACGTTCTTTAAGTCAACAGTTAGCCAAACCACTTGAGGCTGGTAGTGTACTTCGCCCTGCAAGGCCAACCTCGTCCGACCAGAGGCGTTATAATCTCGTGATCTTTCACGCACCGGAGTCCAGTGATCCATCACCCCAAGTGCGCTACGAGCACGATGTCGAATTTTTACAGGGTCTAATTGATAGACTCCTCGATGCTGGTGAGGAATCGGTAAAAGTGAGGCAGATTACCCCGTCTTGGAAAGCAAGGTGATCAACAAAATCGGCCTATGAGAATCACTTTTGTGGACGAAGCCAGTCCAAGACTGATCATGTCCCGCCTAAGTAGGCTGAAAGGTCTGAAGATCCATGTTCGTCCCGACCTGGATCCAGTAGACAGGGAGCGGCTCAAGTCTGCCATCATTGAGTTGAAAAGACGCGCTGGTGAGGGGGAAACAAATCTTCGGATCGTAAATTTTCGGGTGGTTTCCAACAACCCGCGAATCAGGATAAACAAGCTGCTCACACTTCAAGCACGCCCGGTGGCTCCTGCTGCGGCCTGCGAGTAGGCTTCACAAACGTTTTCAGTATTATGAAAAAGCGCGATGAGCTTTGTTGTTTCGTTGCGTCTGAGCGGCCAGACGTAGTGGGACTCGCAGAGACATGGCTGCATGCAGAGTTATACACCCAAGAACTTGAACTCAACGGTTACTCGTGTTTCCGATGCGATAGACTAAAGAATGCCCACGGTGGTGTCTTACTTTACATCCGGTCTTCCCTGCGTGGGAGACTTGTGAGCACCTACCGAAGTGAGGATGGCCTGTGTGAGCTACTGTGGTGCTCCATCCGCCTCAGGCGCGGAGAACTGCTTGTGGGCGCATTTTATCGCAGTCCCCTGAGTCGTTGTTTGGATTGACTGCCCCATGTTCAAGCCCACATGAGTCGTCCACACATTCTGCTTATGGACGATTTTAACTGTCCTCGCATACGATGGCCTGATGTGCATTTGATGCCTGGACATAGTGAGGTTGAAGCAAAGTTCGTGGATTTGGTACTTGAAACTGGTGCATCGCAACACATATGCCAGCCAACACGCATATCAACACGTTCAACCTCGTGCTGTCTCGACCTGATGTTAACAAGCCACGAACAACGAGTGCGTGACGTTAGGATCCTGGAGCCCCTGGCTACAAGCGACCATTCAGTGCTCATAGCTTATATGGAATTATCTTTGCCGTATTCACATCCGCTGCAACCAGC